TGATCAAGTCACCATTTCTCATAGTGTCATTTCACTTCAAGAAGTTTCCCTTTTTGATGCTCCAGTCAGTGTTCACCGATCAGGGAGAACATATGGTATTTGTCCCTTTGGGAACTGGCTTACTTCACTCAGCATGATGTGTTCCCAGATTCCTCCATTTTGTTGCAAATGACTGGATTTCGTTGTTTCTTACTGCGGTATAGTACTCTAAAGAATACATATCCCATAATTTCTTTATCCAGTCTACCGTTGATGGGCATTTAGGTTGGTTCCAGGTCTTGGCTATTGTGAATTGTGCTGCAATAAACATTAGAGTGCAGACCGCTTTTTTGTTTGTCAATTTAAACTCCTTTGGTAAATTCCAAGGAGTGGGATGGCTGGGTCGAAGGGTAGGGTTATATTCAGGTTTCTGAGGAATCTCCAGACTGATTTCCATAGTGGCTTGACCAGTTTGCATTCCCACCAACAGTGGGTTAGTGTCCCTTTTTCCCCACATCCTCGCCAGCATCTGTTGTTGGTAGATTTCTGTATGTGAGCCATTCTAACCGGGGTGAGGTGAAACCTCATTGTGGTTTTGATTTGCATTTCCCTGATTGCTAGTGACCTTGAACATTTTTTCATGTGCCTGTTGGCCATTTGGAAGCCGGAGGCATCACAATACCAGATTTCAGGACATACTACAGGGCAGTTGTAATCAAAACAGCATGGTACTGGTACAGAAACAGATGGATAGACCAATGGAACAGAATTGAAACACCAGAAATCAACCCAAACATCTACAGCCAACTTATATTTGATCAAGGATCTAAAACTAATTCCTGGAGCAAGGACAGTCTATTCAATAAATGGTGCTGGGAAAACTGGATTTCCACGTGCAGAAGCATGAAGCAAGACCCCTACCTTACACCTTACACAAAAATCCACTCAACGTGGATTAAAGACCTAAATCTACGTCCTGACACCATGAAGTTATTAGAGAACATTGGAGAAACCCTTCAAGATATTGGCACAGGCAAAGAATTTCTGGAAAAGACCCGGGAGGCACAGACAGTCAAAGCCAAAATCAACTATTGGGATTGCATCAAATTGAGAAGTTTCTGTACTGCAAAAGAAACAGTCAGGAGAGTGAAGAGACAACCGACAGAATGGGAAAAAATATTTGCAAACTATGCAACAGATAAAGGGTTAATAACCAGAATCTACAAAGAGATCAAGAAACTCCACAAAAACAAAACCAACAACCCACTTAAGAGATGGGCCAAGGACTTCAATAGACATTTTTCAAAAGAGGAAATCCAAATGGCCAACAGGCACATGAAAAAAAATATGTATCCCTTTAGATCCATTAATATTTGCTTTAAATATCCAGGTGCTCTGACATTGAGTGCATATGTATGTATTATAGTCACACCTTTCTGTTGAATCAATCCTTTATGTATTACATAATTCCCTTTGTTGTCTCTTTAATAGTTTTTGTGTTAAAGTCTATTTTTTCTGATATTAGATTGGCTACATCTGCTTCTTTTTGCTTTCTGTTAGCATGGAATATCTTTCCTTCCTTTCACTTTCAGCTTGTGTTGTATCTTTGACGGTTAGGTGTGTTTTTGTAGGCAGCAGATGGAAGGATCTTGCTTTTTAATTCATTTAGTCAGTCTGTATCTTTTAATTGGAGAGTTTTGGCCATTCACATTCAAGATACCTATTGGTAAGTAACAACTTGCCCCTGCCATTTTTTCTGTAAATATTCTTGTTGATTGCTTTGGATTTCCTATATAATTTTACTAGGAGATTTTCTGCTTTCACATTCTTTCATAATGATGACTAGCTTTCTGTGTTTCTGTGACATATCCTTAAGTATCATCTATAAGACTGGGCATGTGGTGACAGATTCTTTCAATTTATGTTTGTTGCAAGGTCTTTATTTTACCTTCATTCATAAATGAGAACTTTGCAGGGTACGATATTCTGAGTTGCCAGTTTTTTTTTTCTCTTATGTTTTGGACTGTGTCTCGCCATTGTCTCCTAGTCCATAGGGTTCCTGATGACAAGTCAGCTGTGAGTCTGATTGAAGATTCTCTGAAAGTAATTTGGCTTTTCCTCTCATGCACATTGTAGAATCTTTATGTTTTTCTGTTGAAACTTTGACTATAATGTGTTATGGTGAAGATATTTTTTTGGTCATGTCTATTAGGAGTTCTATATGCTGTCTGTACTTGGACATCTCTTTCTTTCTCCAAATTGGGCAAGTTTTCTGTAATTATTTCACTAAATAGCCCTTCTAGTTCATTCTGTATTTCCCCACCTTCAGGAACTCCTAAGACCTGTATGTTGGGTCATTTGGTAATATCCCCTAAATCCCCAATACTATTTTGAATTTTTTTTGGTCTGACTAAAATATTTCCAAAGATTTGTCTTCTAGCTCAGATATTCTTTCTTCTGCCTCTCCAAGTCTGTTGTTAAGGTTTTACTCTGTATTTTTGGTTTGACATATTGAATTGTTCACTTCTAATATTTCAGTTCAATTTCTCTTCAATATCTTTATCTCATGGGAAAATTTTTCTTCATGTATGGATTTCATACTTGTATGAATGTATGAATTATGGATTTCTTTAAGTCATGAAGTTGCTTCTGAGTAATCCTGTGATCACTTTTGAATTCCTTTTTCAGGCATTTCATCAGTCTCTTAATCTTCACATTCTAACATGAATTGGATTGTTGTGTTCCTTTGGGGGAGTCATGGCATCTTTCTTGTTCTTGTATAGCTGCATTTATTTTCAGGTGTTTGTGGAAACACTTGTTGGTTTTCTCCACTGTCGTGTTTTATTTTGAACTATGCCTCTGTGGCTTAGTGGAATGTCTGCTTCTTCAGTGAGTACCCAGAGGCATATGGTGGGTGTGGCCAGGGAGCTGTGGTTGGTGCTCAAGTTTGGGGCAAGAATCCAGGGCAACACTCAATTTGGTCATGGTAGATCTTCTCTATTGACAGCAGGGGGAGGATACGATCATACCTGTTGATGTAATCACAACCTCATTTCCTCTCTTCCAAGGTGATCAATATCTGGGGTTAGCCACAGTGGGTCCAACCTTCATGCATGCTGCCACATGAACCACACAAAGGATCTGTGCAGTCCTCACTCTCTGCAGTGACCCACCCTAGATGGTCAGTGAACTCTGAGCCTCTGATGCCAGACACAGTGATTGTCCAGAGATCCAGCCACACCCCATGCCACAGTTACAGTGCACAGACTTCCACAGTAACGAGGGGCAGAGGATCCCCTCTCTGCTTCATGACCTGCCCTGCACATGGAGAGAGCAGAGTAGTTCCCAGAGCCAACTGCCAGTGGTTGCTCTGCCTCGGCTGTTTGAGCCCTGGAGCCTGCCATAGTTTGACAGGATGGGGGCAATTCAAAATACTAAGTTGACTGCCCCCTGTCAACTCTCCCATCCAGACTCCAAGGCAGTGGAAAATGTGGATTTTTCCTTCTGCTAAAATCCCTTGGTTGGGCAGAGAAGATGCTGCCTCTACTTCTGTCAAGATAGTGCCTTCTCTCTGCTGGTTACTGAGTGCTCTTATAGGGGAATGAGGGGAAAGAAACATGCTTTTCTTTACTGGATTTGGGGGGTATCCTGCCCTCTGCTGGTGTGCTAGTCTGGACTCAAAGACAGTGCAATCTGCAAGGTTCTCCCTCAGGCAGTATCACCAATGGTGTCACCTGCCCCAGTCTGCCCTGACCTTGCCCTCAGAACCTGGCGTCTCCTCCAGTCTCCTGCTGTGATAGTCATGAATGGTGTCCCCACTCACTGCTGTGTGTCTGCACTTTCTGCACTGCTTCACAGCTTTCCTCCTCTTTAGAATTTCCACTGCAAACTTCTCTCCAACTTTCCCCTGGGAATACGCTTCCTCCACTTTTTTCCTGCTACCTTCCCCTAGTCAGAATCAGCACTTCTTTTCCCTATTCTGCCATCTTGGAATCCTCAGCCTGAATCTGAAAACCGTTCTCTTCCTCTAGTCCCCACTGAAAACTGATAGATTTAGGAGTGACTCTTTAGAGATGTTGGAGTAGCATACTAAAATGTGGTATTTGTTGCCTCCAAATTCAAAAAGGCTTTCCGATCTTTGTGACTGTTAATTGGTGGTAAATGGCAGAAAATGAAGCAATTTCTCTTTAACCATGGAGGGAATATCTTGACTCACTCCAGGCCTTTAAACGCCTATAAACATCACCAAGGTGGTTATTGTTGATGGGTTTGAAATTTGCATTGTTTTCTATCTATCCCACCAAGACATTAAATACTTACCCCTTCCTGCTCCTTAGAGCTCATAAGCATAATGTTGTCGGTGTTGTGGATCCGGGTGAACATAGTGGAGTATTAACATCTCCGTGTTTTTTTTTTTTTTTTTTTTTTAATAGCAGAGAGAGGTGGAACTCTGCTGCTGTGGGGGGTGTACTGTTTTCCCTGCAAAGTGAAAGCACATTTCTTCTGGTGGTCATTGCAAATTAACATTAAGTAATTTGCATTACTTACATACCATGTTTATTTACTCTAGCAATCATAGTATACTGGAGTCATCAGCTGCTATTGTGGTCATCATTTGATTAAGACTATATAATCCATAGTCATTCTCTAAAATACACCTGCTCTCTGCACGGGCCAATTGGTGATTTAAATGGTCCGATTGATAATTAAATGGTGGATTAAATAGTCCTTCTTTATGTTTTTTTTTTTTAAAGAAACATTTATTATTTGAAAAGCAGAGTTACAAGGAGGGTGGGGAAAAGAATACTTAATCTACTATTTCATTCTCCAAGTGGTCACAATGGCCAGGGTTGGGCCGGGCTGAATCCAGAAGCCAGGAATGTATTTACCCAGGTCTCTCATGTGGGAGGCAGGGGCTCAAGCACTTAGACTATCTTTTGCTGATTTCCCAGGTACATGAGCAGGGAGTTGGATTGGAAGCAGAGCAGCAGGTTACGAACTGGTGCCCATGTGGGATGCTGGCATTGGAGGCAGTGACGTAATCTGCTATGCTACAATGTCAACCCCCCTTTAAGACTTATGGTGGCAGTGATCTCTGAAATTCCCATGTTTACTATCTTGGTAGGGAATGGAAGTTTCAGTGACCCGAATCCCACAGGGATTCTTCCATTTGCCCAGTGTGTTTATATCTGTTAGACACTGAGAACCTGGTGAATAACTGCCAGTTGTGTCCATGGGCCAGCTGTGCCACTATAATTTGGAATTATGTAAGGCTTCATCTAGGACCTGACAACTGTGAGCCCTGCATACCTTCCCCCAACCATGATTAATTTTAATTATAAAATATCCCATGGATCAAGTGAATGCATCACAACGTTTTTTCCCGCATACCTTGCAGTGGCACATTCAGTTTCTAGAAATTAGTCAGTTTAGAACCAGTGTTTAGTAATCTCTCAAACGTTTTGATAATTCTTTTCTCCATTGTGTAGACACTCTAGTAAATGGCTGCAGGTCCTCTGGGGAAGAGTTGGAGGAATATTTACAATGTGAACTTTTGTCTCTTTTGAGGCAAATTCCATCACAAATGTAAATAGCTGGGAAATATACAAGGATTAATGAATCTTTATCTGAAAATACACTTTATTGGCTAACATAAAATAGCATGGTAAGTATTTCCTTCAAAAGATAAGAAAACATCTTGTTGCCTGATTTTCCAGCTGAAATTAAGGTCTGGGGCATTTCAAGGACATCATCACTCAAAGTTTTGCTCTCTGCAGACTTGTGGAATAGTATTTATAATGACCCAGAGCTGATATTAGAAACAATAAATGAAAGCAGAGAGAATCATTCTCTTGCAGGCCAGAAGGCAGCTGATTATTATGACAAAGGTCTCTGCAGTCAGGAAAGGTCAACTTGTCACCTTTGCTCTAGCTGCAAATTCTTTTCAACCAGTTGCCTTTGAGCAGTGACTTAGGGCAATAGACCAAGCATGTGCTTCCTGACACTCTGAAAATATAAAGTGATGGTGAGCTTAGAAATTTTAAACACAAAAGTTAACCAACATAAAGTGAGCAAGATGTTCCAAAATGTTGGCAGGTTAAGAAACAATTCAAATGCATCCATGATCCTCAAGCGCAGTGAAGAACTGTAGGTTCAATTGTTTATCCCTTTGTATGTTTTACTGGTCCTACAATTAACAAATGGATAGCTTGGCTTGAGGGTCAACCTTGCCTTTCTGAATGCACAGCTGTTCGTGCTAATGAGCACAGGCAAGATACAAAGTGGACGAGAAGCAAAGTGTTTTGCAGAAACCACGAAGTGGAAAATCTAATGAAAAATACAATTCACCCAAACACAATGTAGAAGCCTAGTGGAGCAGATTCAAACAGCAAAGTGCCACTTCCTGAGAGGAAAAGTGACCTGTGGATTAAGTAGTAGCAGCTTTCACAGTTCAAATGAGCTGCCCATTAGAGAAAATAACTTAAGACAGCTTATTTGAAATCCTGTTGCAGTGGTTCCTTTGCTTAAGGCTACTTTGAGGAATATTCTCATTTTTAATTTTAAAACCATAAGTTTATCTCCTCCTGCAATTTAATAATAGATATTAATCATTATTAGATATTTACCCAATTAGAGTTTACATCTGGTTTGCTTTTTAAGATTTCTTGCATGTAATTTAAAAATAGTAAACACATCAGTGATGTTACAGTGCTGAATTTTTTTAGAGATTTATTTATTTATTTTGAAAGGCAGAGTTAAATGCAGAGTTAAAGAGATTTTTCATATGCTTGTTTGCTTCCCAAAGGATTGCAATTGCCTGGGCTGGGCTAGGCTAAAGCCAGAATCCAGGGGTTTAATCTGAGTCTCCCATGTGAGTGATAGGGACCTAAACACTTGGGCCACCTGACACTACTTTTTCACAGGTCATTAGCAGGGAGCTGGATCAGAAGTGGAGCAACTGGGACACTGGGATGCCGGTATCATAGGTGGCCACAGTGCTGGCCCCTGGAATTTTGCTTTTTTCTCTCTCCACCTCTGAACACTGTCACTAATTACAAAATAATAAAATCAAAAAAACAAAACTAGGAAAATGCAACCTGTTAGCTGTCATGCACATGATGGTACACTTTTGAAGCCCATTTATATTTTTATGAATAAGGATTATAATATTATGTATACTATAGCTTTTCTTACAGCTTTATTATTAAATGTTTTTCTTTTACTTTGTAACTGGTTTTTAACAAATTCAGTGTGATTTGTAGGTACAGTTTTAAGAACATAGTGATATTTTTTTCCTTCTTCCTTCCCCTCCCTCTTTTCCTTTCACCCTCCTAATTTTCTTTTGTTTAGTGTTTGGGATAAAATTTTTAAAAAATTAATTAAATTTACATAAGGTGAACAAATTTCATGTATTTCATGTAACAGACTTAAGAGCATAATATTTCCCACTCATCCTTCCTCCTGGTCATGCTCCTACACTCCCTCCTCCTCCCTTCCTTATTTTTTCTCTTAATTTTTACAGAGACATAGTTTATTTTATAATTACAAGATTAACCCTCCACCAAATAAAAAATTTAACAAGGAGTAAGTAGAAAACAAGGGCTGTAAACAATAATCAAATCTCAAAATGTCAATTTCATTTGTATACATTACATTTTTGTGTTCTTTATATTAATTACTACAAACTAGAGAAAACATGATATTTGTCTTTTTGGTACTGGCTAATTTCGCTAAGCGTAATGATTTCCAATAGCATGCTTTTTGTTTCAAAAAACAAGATTTCATTCTTGTTTACAGCTGAGTACTATTCTGTAAAGTATATATAACACAATTTCTTTATCCAGTCATTGATTGATGGACATCTGGGTTGATTCCACATCTTTGCTATTGTTAATTGCTCTCCAATAAACGTGGGGGTACAGACAACTCCTTCTTATGTTGATTTTGTTTTCTTGGGTAAATTCCCAGGAGTGGGATGACTGGTCATATCATAGATCTATTTTTAGTTTTCTGAGAAATCTCCATACTGTCTTCCACGATGGCTGTTCTACCTTTCATTTCTGCCAGTAGTGTTGTAGGGTAACTTTTCCCTAACATCCTCGCCAACGTTTATTGTTTTTTGATTTTTGGATGATAGCCATTCTAACTGGGGTGAGATGAAAGCTCATTGAGGTTTTCATTTTCATTTCCTTTATGGCTGAGCATTTTTTCATGTGTCTGTTGGCAATTTGAATTGTATCCTATGAAAAATGCCTGTTCATGACCTCTGCCCATTTCTTAACTAGATATTTGTTTTGTTGTTACTGAGTTTGAGCTCTTTATAGATTTCAGAAATATTTTGTTGCATTCTGTTGGTTGCCTCTTCAATTTGTTAAGTGTTTTCTTGCAATGCAGAAGCTTCTTAGCTTGATGTAATCACTTTTGTACATTTTTGCTTTAATTGCCTGTGCTTCATGCTTCTAGGGTCTTTTCCAAGAAGTATTTACTTATTCCAATGTCTTACAAAATTTCACCAATGTTTTCCTCTAGTAATTTGATCATATCATGTCATAGATTTAGATCAATTCACTTAGGGCTGAGTTTTTCTTAAAGATTTATTTTATTTATTTGAAAGGCAGAATTACACAGAGAAAGATGGAGAGACAGAGGGAGAGATTGTGCCCTCACTTGTTCACTATCCAAATAGCTCTGCTACAGCCAGGGCAAGGCCAGATCAAAGCCAAGAGCTTCTGAGTCTACCATGTGGGTACAGGGGCCCAAGGACTTCAACCATCTTCCACTACTTTAACCATCTTCCACTACTTTTCCAGGCAAATGAGCAGGGAGCTGGATTTGTATTCGAGCAGCTGGGACCAAACTGGCACAAATATGAAATGCTGGTGCTCAAACGGTGGCTTTTACCTGCTATGCAATAACACTGACCCCTAAATTGATTTTTGTATAAGGTTTAACGTAAAGGTCTTGTTTCATACTTCTGCACATGAATATCCAATTTTCCCCAGCACTATTTATTGAAGATGCTATCCTTTCTATAGAGATTGATTTTTTGCTCATTTTTCAAAGATTAATTGGTTTTGGATGCATGGATTAATTTCTGAGGCTTCTGTTTTGTTTAACTGGTCTAAATGTCTATTTTTGTGCTAGTACTAAGCTGTTTGATTATATATGCCTATAGTATGTCTTTTTAAAAAAACGTAGACATCTTACTTCTGCTGGTGCACACTCCAAATGGTCACAAAAGCCTGTAGCATGTCTTTTTTTTTTTTTTTTGACAGGCAGAGTGGACAGTGAGAGAGAGAGACAGAGAGAAAGGTCTTCCTTTGCCGTTGGTTCACCCTCCAATGGCCGCCGCGGCCGGCGCGCTGCGGCCGGCGCACCGCGCTGATCCGATGGCAGGAGCCAGGAGCCAGGTGCTTTTCCTGGTCTCCCATGGGGTGCAGGGCCCAAGCACCTGGGCCATCCTCCACTGCACTCCCGGGCCACAGCAGAGGGCTGGCCTGGAAGAGGGGCAACCGGGACAGAATCCGGCGCCCCAACCGGGACTAGAACCCGGTGTGCCGGCGCCGCTAGGCGGAGGATTAGCCTAGTGAGCCGCGGCGCTGGCTCAGCATGTCTTTTTTTAAAAATTTTATTTATGGAATACAAACTTCATGCATTCATATATGCAATTTTAGGAATATTGTAATTCTTCCCAACTTTCCCTCCTTTTGAGCCACACTCCCATCCTTTGGCCACCTCCCTCTCCTATTCCCATTTTTTCTTTTTTCACAAAGATCTATTTTCAATTAACTTTATACTCATAAGATTAACCATGCATTAAGTAAATAGTTCAAAAAATAGTATGAAGAAAAAAAAAACCCAACCAAACAAAAAAGAATGTTCCTCAACAGAAGAGACAAGGGCTCTTTGCATCACAAAGTATCCATTTAACTCCCATAGATGACCTTTTAGGTGCAATATTAGTTACCACAGACCAGAGAGAACATATTATTTGTCTTTTTTTGGGACAGTTTGTTGCAAATGACAGGATATTTTTTTACTGTTGTGTACTATTCAATAGTGTATATATACCATAATTCCTTTTTTTATTTGACAGATAGAGTTAGACAGTGAGAGAGACAGAGAAATGTCTTCCTTCCGTTGGTTCACCCCCCAAATGACTGCCATGGCTGGAGCTACACGAATCCAAAGTCAGGATCCAGGTGCTTCCTCCTGGTCTCCCATGCAGGTGCAGGAGCCCAAGCACCTGAGCCATCCTCCACTGCCTTCCCGGGCCACAGCAGAGCTGGACTGGATGAGGAGCAACCAGGAATAGAACCTGGCGCCCGTATGTGATGCCGGTGCTGCAGGTGGAGGAGGATTAACCAAGTGAGCCACGGTGCTGGCCTCACCATAATTTCTTTATCCAGTATTCAGTTGACAGACATTTGGGTTGATTCCATATCTTAGCTATTGTGAATTGTGTTGCAAAAAACATGGGGGTACAGATCACTCTTTATATGCTGATTTCATTTCCTTTGAGTAAATTCCCAGGACTGGATGGCTGTGTAATATAGTAGGTATATTTTTGGATTTTTCCATTCTATCTTCCACAGTGGCTGCATCAGTTTATATTCCCATCAACAATATTCCCTTTTCCCTACATCTTTACCAGAATTTGTTGTTTATTGATTTCTGTATGAGAGCCATTCTAATCGGGGAGAGGTGAAGCCTCATTGTGGGTTTTTATTTCATTTCCCTAATGGTTAGTGATCCTGAGCATTTTATAAAGTGTCTGTTGTCCAATTGAATTTCCTATTTTGAAAAAAGCCTAAATGCCTGTTCAGGTCCTTTGCCCATTTCTTTTTAAAAATTTTATTTATTTGAGAGGTCGAATTCCACAGAGAGAAAAGGGGAAAGGCAGAGGAAAGTGTCGTCTGTTCTCCCGTTCACTCCCCAAAGGATAGCAATGATCAGAACTGAGACCATCCGAGGCTGGGAGCCCAGAGCTGCTTCTGGTTCTCTCATGAGGGTGCATGATTGATTTTTGGAATATCTATTCTGTTCCATTGGTCTACACATTTGTTTTTGTGCCAGTACCAGGCTGTTTGGATTATAGATGCCTGTAGTATGTCTTGAGATCAGGTATTGTGATGCCTCTCGCTTCGTGTTTGTTGTTTAAGATTGCATTATCTGGGTTCTCTTGTGTTACCATTTTAATTTTAGCATATTTTTTTCTAGATCTGAGAAGAATGTTGTTGATATTTTGATTGAGTTTTCATTGAATCTATAATTTGCTTTTTTCAGTTTTTTAAACTTTGATTTAATAAACATAAATTTCCAAAGTACAACTTTTGAATTATAGTGGCTTTTCTCCCCATAAACTCCCTCCCACCTGCAACCATCCTATCTCTGACTTCCTCTCCCATCCCATTCTTCATTAAGATTCATTTTCAATTATCTTTATATACAGAAGATCAACTTAGTATAGACTAAAAAGATTTCAACAGGCTACACCACAAAGACAAACAAAGTATAGAGTTTGAGTACTAGTTTTACTGTTAATTTGCATAGTATAACACATTAAGGAAAGAGGTCCTACACGGGGAGCAGGTGAACAGTGACTCTCATTGTTGATTTAATAATTGACACTCTTATTTATGACATCAGTAATCACCCGAAGCTCTTGCCATGAGATGCCAAGGCTATGGAAGCCTCTTGAGTTCACCAACTCTGGTCTTATTTAAACACGGCCATATTCAAAGTGCAAGATCTCTCCTCCCTTCAGAGAAAGGTACATCCTTCTTTGATGGCCCATTATTTCCTCTGGGATCTCACTCACAGAGATCTTTCATTTAGGTCATTTTTTTTCCACAGTATCTTGGTTTTCCATGCCTGTGAAACTCTCATGGGCTTTTTAGCGAGATCCAAATGCTTTAAGGGCTGATTCTGAGGCTGGAGTGCTGTTTAGGGCATTTGACATTCTATGATTCTGCTATGTTTCCTTCTTCCCATGCAGGATCATTCTCTACTTTTTAATTCTATAAATTATTATTTGGTCTTATTTATGTAATCCCTTTGATACTCAATCCTATCTTTTTGAACAATTATGAACTTAAACTGATCACTTTAACAAGTAAGATGGCATTGTAACATGCCAATTTGATGGGATTGAATTGGAATCACCTGGCACATTTCTAGCTCTACCATTAGGGGTAAGTCTGAGTGAGCATGTGCAGAACTGTACATCTCCCCCATCTTTTATTTCCACTCTTATATTTAACAGGGATCACTTTTCAGTTAAATTTAAACACCTAAGAATAATTGTGTGTTAATTAAAGAGTAAAACCAATGGTATTAAGTAGAACAAAAATACTAAAAGAAATAATGTAGTAAGTTATTCCTTGACAGTCAGGACAAGGGCTGATCAGGACATCATGTTTTCCAGATTCCTCCATTTTCTGGCTAATGACCCGATTTCATTTTTTACTGCTGTATAGTATTCTATAGAGTACATATCCCATAATTTCTTTATCCAGTCTTCTATTGATGGGCATTTAGGTTGATTCCATGTCTTAGCTATTGTGAATTGAGGTGCAATAAACATTGAGGTGCACACAAATCTTTGATTTGCCAATTTAACTTCCTTTGGGTAAATTCCAAGGAGTGGGAAGGCTAGGTTGTATGGTAGGGCTATATTCAGGTTTCTGAGGAATATCCAAACTACTTCCATAGTGGCGTTACCAGTTTGCATTCCCACAAACAGTGGGTTAGTGTCCCTTTCCCCCACATCCTCACCAGCATCTGTTGTTGGTAGATTTCTGTATGTAAGCCATTCTAACCGGGATGTGGTGAAACCTCATTGTATTTTGATTTGCATTTCCCTGATTGCTAGTGATCCTGAACATTTTTTCATGTGTCTGTTGGCCATTTAGATTTTCTCTTTTGAAAAATATCTATTGAGGTCCTTGGCCCATCTCTTAAGTGGGTTGTTTGTTTTGTTGTTGTGGAGTTTCTTGATCACTTTGTAGATTCTGGTTATTAATCCTTTATTGGTTACCTAATTTGCAAATAATTTTTCTCTTTCTGTTGGCTGCTTCTTCACTTTACTGACTATTTCTTTTGCAGTACAGAAACTTCTCAATTTGATTTAATGCCAATTGTTAATTTTGGCTTTGACTGCCTGTGCTTCTGGGTTCTTTCCCGAGAAGACTTTGCTGGTGTCAATATCTTGCAGGGTTTCTCCAGTGTTCCATAATGATTAGATGGTGTCATGTTGTAGATTTAGATTTTTAATCCATGTTAAGTGGCTTTTTTTGTAAGGTGTAAGGTATGGGTCTTGCTTCATGCTTCTGCTAATGGAAATCCAGTTTTCCCAGCACCATTTGTTGAATAGACTGTCCTTGCTCCAGGAATTGGTTTTAGATCCTGGATCAAATATAAGTTGGCTATAGATGTTTGGATTGATTTCTGGTGTTTCTATTCTGTTCCATTGGTCTATCCATCTGTTTCTGTACCAGTACCATGCTGTTTTGATTATAACTGCCCTGTAGTATGTCCTGAAATCTGGTATTGTGATGTCTCCGGCTTTGTTTTTGTTGTACAAGATTGCTTTATCTTTTGAGGTCTCCTGTGTCTCCATATGAATTTCAGCATCATGTTTTCCAGATCTGAGAAGAATGTCTTTGGTATTTCAATTGGTATCACATTGAATGTATAAATTGCTATTGGGAGAATGGACATTTTTTTTTTTTGGTTGCATTTCTACTTTTTTTTTTAACTTTTATTTAATGAATATAAATTTCCAAAGTACGACTTATGGATTACAATGGCTTCCCCCCATACCGTCCTTCCCACCCACAACCCTCCCCTTTCCCACTCCCTCTCCCCTTCCATTCACATCAAGATTCATTTTTGATTATCTTAATATACAGAAGATCAGCTTAGTATACATCAAGTATGGATTTCAACAGTTTGCTCCCACACAGAAACATAAAGTGAAAAATAATAGATGATTTTTTCTAAATGATGATGAAATCAGAGCAGACCTATTGTCATATTTAATCCCAGTGAGAGTCAAGTTGGGAATTGATAATGTCGCTTTGCTTTCTTCTTTCTTTTTTTTTTTTTTTTTTTTTTTACAGAGGATCAGTTTAGTATGCATTAAGTAAGGATTTCAACAGTTTGCACCCCCGTAGAAACACAAAGTGAAATATATTGTTTGAGTACTCGTTATAGCATTAAATCTCAATGTACAGCACATTAAGGATAGAGATCCTACATGAGGAGTAAGTGCACAGTGACTCCTGTTGTTGACTTTACCAATTGACACTCCTGTCTATGGCATCAGTAATCTCCCTATGCTCCAGTCATGAGTTTCCAAGGCTATGGAAGCCCTCTGAGTTCTCCGACTCTTATCTTGTTTAGACAAGGTCATAGTCAAAGTGGAGGTTCTCTCCTCCCTTCAGAGAAAGGTACCTCCTTCTTTGATGACCTGTTCTTTCCACTGGGATCTCACTCGCAGAGATCTTTTTGCCAGAGTGTCTTGGCTTTCCATGCCTGAAATAGTCTCATGAGCTTTTCAGCCAGCTCCGAATGCCTTTAGGGCTGATTCTGAGGCCAGAGTGCTATTTAGGACATCTGCCATTCTATGAGTCTGCTGAGTATCTCACTTCCCATGTTGGATCACTCTCCCCTTTATTTACTCCATCGGTTAGCGTTAGCAGGTACTAGACTTGTCTATGTGCTCCCTTTGACTCCCAGTCCCTCCACCATGACCAACTGTGAACTGAAACTGATCACCTGGAACAGTGAGATGGCATTGGTACATGCCACCTCGCTTTTCTTACTGCGGTATAGTATTCTAAAGAGTACATATCCCATAATTTCTTTATCTAGTCTACCGTTGATGGGCATTTAGGTTGGTTCCAGGTCTTGGCTATTGTGAATTGTGCTGCGATAAACATTAGGGTGCAGACCGCTTTTTTGTTTGCCAATTTAAATTCCTTTGGGTAAATTCCAAGGAGTGGGATGGCTGGTTCAAACGGCAGGGTTATCTTCAGGTTTCTGAGGAATCTCCAGACTGACTTCCATAGTGGCTTGACCAGTTTGCATTTCCACCAACAGTGGGTTAGTGTCCCTTTTTCCCCACATCCTCTCCAGCATCTGTTGTTGGTAGATTTCTGCATGTGAGCCATTCTAACTGGGGTGAGGTGAAACCTCATTGTGGTTTTGATTTGCATTTCCCTGATTGCTAGTGACCTTGAACATTTTTTCATGTGCCTGTTGGCCATTTGGATTTCCTCTTTTGAAAAATGTCTATTGAGGTCCTTGGCCTATCTCTTAAGTGGGTTGTTGGTTTTGTTTTTGTGGAATTTCTTGATGTCTTTGTAGATTCTGGTTATTAACCCTTTATCTGTAGGATAGTTTGCAAATATTTTTTCCCATTCTGTCGGTTGTCTCTTCACTCTCCTGACTTTCTTTTGCAGTACAGAAACTTCTCAATTTGATACAATCCCAATAGTTGATTTTGGCTTTGACTGCCTGTGCCTCCTGGGTCTTTTCCAGAAATTCTTTGCCTGTGCCAATATCTTGAAGGGTTTCTCCAATGTTCTCTAGTAACTTGATGGTGTCAGGTCGTAGATTTAGGTCTTTAATCCACGTTGAGTGGATTTTTGTGTAAGGTGTAAGGTAGGGGTCCTGCTTCATGCTTCTGCACGTGGAAATCCAGTTTTCCCAGCACCATTTGTTGAATAGACTGTCCTTGCTCCAGGAATTGGTTTTAGATCCTTGATCAAATATAAGTTGGCTGTATATGTTTGGGTTGATTTCTGGTGTTTCAATTCTTTTCCATTGGTCTATCCATCTGTTTCTGTACCAGTACCATGCTGTTTTGATTACAACTGCCCTGTAGTATGTCCTGAAATCTGGTCTTGTGATGCCTCCAGCTTTGTTTTTGTTGTACAAGATTTCTTTAGCTATTCGAGGTCTCTTGTGCCTCCATATAAATTTCAGCACCATTTTTTCCAGATCTGAGAAGAAGGTCTTTGGTATCTTGATTGGTATTGCATTGAATCTATAAATTGCTTTTGGGAGAATGGACATTTTGATGATATTGATTCTTCCAATCCATGAGCATGGAAGATTTTTCCCTTTCTTGATATCCTCTTCTATTTCTTTCTTTAAGGTTTTGTAATTTTCATCGTAGAGATCTTTAACGTCCTTGGTTAAGTTTATTCCAAGGTATTTGATTTTTTTTGTGGCTATTGTGAATGGGATTGATCTTAGAAGTTCTTCCTCAGCCATGGCATTGTCTGTGTATACAAAGGCTGTTGATTTTTGTGCATTGATTTTATATCCTGCCACTTTGCCAAACTCTTCTATGAGTTCCAATAGTCTCTTAGTAGAGTTCTTTGGGTCCCCTAAATAAAGAATGATATCATCTGCAAAAAGGGATAGTTTGGCTTCTTCCTTCCCAATTTGTATCCCTTTAATTTCTTCTTCTTGCCTAATAGCTCTGGCTAAAACTTCGAGAACTATATTGAATAGCATTGGTGAGAGTGGGCATCCCTGTCTGGTACCAGATCTCAGTGGAAATGCTTCCAACTTTTCCCCATTCAATAGGATGCTGGCTGTGGGTTTTTTATAAATTGCTTTGATTATATTGAGGAATGTTCCTTCTATACCCAATTTGCTTAGAGTTTTCATCATGAAAGGGTGTTGAATTTTATCAAATGCTTTCTCTGCATCAATTGAGATAACCATATGGTTTTTCTTCTGCAGTCTGTTAATGTGGTGTATCACATTGATTGTCTTGCGCACATTAAACCATCCCTGCATACCAGGGATAAATCCCAGTTGGTCTGGGTGGATGATCTTTCTGATGTGTTGTTGCATTCTATTGGCCAGAATTTTATTGAGGATTTTTGCATCTATGTTCATCAGGGATATTGGTCTGTAATTCTCTTTCAATGCTGCATCTTTTTCCGGCTTAGGAATTAAGGTGATGCTGGCTTTATAGAAAGAATTTGGGAGGACTCCCTCTTTTCCGATTGTTCTGAATAGTTTGAGAAGAATTGGAGTCAGTTCTTCTTTAAATGTCTGGTAGAATTCAGCAGTGAATCCATCTGGTCCTGGGCTTTTCTTTGTTGGGAGGGCCTTTATTACTGTTTCAATTTCTGTCTCAGTTATGGGTCTGTTTAGGTTTTCGATGTCTTCCTGGTTCAATTTAGGCAGGTTGCATGTGTCCAGGAATCTATCCATTTCTGATAGGTTTCCCTGTTTGCTGGCATACAAGTCCTTGTAGTAATTTCTGATGATTCTTTTTATTTCTGTGGTGTCTGTTGTTACGTTTCCTTTTTCATCTCTGATTTTATTGATTTGGGTCTTTTCTTTTTTTAGTTAGTTGGGCCAATGGGGTGTCAATTTTGTTTATTTTTTCAAAAAACCAGCTCCTCATTTGGCTGATTTTTTGTAATTTTTTTTTGTTGCAAAAATACTTTGATATCCATGTACAGTATTTTCGTAATACACATTTTCCATGAACTTTTAGAAGTATCCTTGTATATATGTCTGTAATTTTAATAAAATTAATTTATATACCTTTATGGTGAGATCTTTTTATATCTTGCTTAAGAATATTTTCTTTCTCTGAGGTCATGTAGATAGTCCCATACATTATCTTTCACATGATTTATTTTTACCTTTCACATTTAGGCCTATAATATATTGGAATTGATTTGTGTGCCTGTGTGAAATAGAAGTCAAGGTTGTTTTTTTCCATATGCATGTCTAATTGATCCAGGACTCTTTATTGAAAAGATCACGCTTTCCCACTTTTATTGAAAGTAAGATGATTGTATATGTGTAGGTCACTTCTTTGACTTTTTTAGTTTGTTCTGCTTGTTTGATTTGTATCAGCACTACTTTGTTTTCATTACTAAATCTTTCTAATTAGTCTTGATATCTAGTAGTGCAGACCTCTTAGTTTGCAATCCTTTTAAAATATTATCTAGTGATTATTGGCTTCTTATATTTTTAGTTAAAATTTTTGAATCATTTTGTGAGTTCCCAAAGAAAATATATATTAGGAATTTGATTTGGAGTTACTGAGCATGGAGATTAATTTGAAGATAATCTTTATAACAATGAGTTTATCTGAATATGATGTATTCCTCTATTTCAAGATTGTCAATTTTTTTTCTGTAAAGAGTTATAAGTAAATATTTTCAGAATTTGAGTACCAGATAGAATCTTTATCATATACTGCTATTTTCTTTTTTGGTTTTACTGCCCTTTAAGACTGTAAAAACCCTTCATAGGCAGTACAAAAACAGTCTGTAAGCTTAGTATGCCAATCTATTCTCTACAAGTGTTCATTTAGTTTTTCTTTAGTATGTCTTAACAGTGCTTTAGGTTTTCTGTGTAAGGTCTTGATCTTTCATTATATTTACTGTTAGATATTCGATGATTGAAACTATTATGTGGAGTAGCATTTTAAAATTAATTTTTCAATTTTTGCTTGTATATAGACATAAAATTGATTTTTGCATGTTTACTTTCTGTCCAGGGATCTTATTTTTTTATTAATTGTATTAGTTTATCTGTACCTTTTTGGGTTTTTACATATAAGTAATGTCATGTTATAACTATAGAGTCCTTTACCTTGGTTTCCAAATTGTATAGTATTGATTCATTCTCTTGCTGTTCTAACTAGAACTTCTAGTATGGGTTGAATATAAATGATGAGTATAACATCTTTGTCCTCTCAAGAAAGCATTTAATATGTTATATCAGACAGGATTTTTGTATATTTTTTGATCTTTTACAAAATTAAACAAAAGTTTCTTTGATCTTTTCCCTGTTTTGCTAAGAGTTG